GAATCATCGTAAAATTTTTTAAGTTTGCCTTGAATCTACTTTGGAGCTGCATGAATTGAGATCTCTTGGTAACTGACCTTGTGTTGACCCAAATAGGCCTGTTGCTGTGTACACCGCCCACCTGCCACCGCCCCTGTGGAAGCAGTGTTCGTGAGCCTAAAGAGTTCTGGGTGGGGAGTTATGCCAGAAGTCAGCCAAGTGTAGGTAATGATGTCAGGTAGCATGGGAGGTTGGAGCGCAGGAAGAGGCAGGGGGGAACTTTAGGCAAGGAACCCTTGTAACCAGCTGTGCCAAATGGGCCTTCCCTGAGGACTTAATAGGCACCCTATTGTCACTTGTAACTCAACAATTGAGGTCACAGTCAAAGAAAAAAACCTTTATTTTCCACAATGTCATCTTTCAGCAGTGCAGCTTCATAAGCGAAGATGGTGATGTTCCAACAGTTCATCTAAACTGTTTAAAATCCTACCAAATCCGTTGCAGGTGGTTGGTATGTAGGAAAGGTGGATAGGAGGAGGGTAAATATTAAAATCTGTTTGAGATGTGAAATTACATGAGTAAGGTTTGGTGTTTTCACCGCAACCATTCATAATAACCAGAACTTTATATTCTTAGCCACAATTATTAAAGATTTTATAGGTTACAATACACTGGGATATTCCTTTCTCAAAGAAACCTTTAATGTTATCCCAGAATTAAAATATGCTTTTGCAAAATAAAACGTTTATCAAGTCTGCCAAAAAGAGAGCCAATTATTTGGGTTTCTCTCTAGGATTTTAATAAATTCCTTTGATACCTAGTCAAAGCAGTTGAGCATCCTCACATTGAACAAAATGAAAGCAAGGAAGCGATCAATCTCATTTCAAAAGTGAACACACATAAAAACCATTATATTTTCAGATTTTTCATTTTTACATTTTGCAAATAAGAATAACCTTTCTTAGGTTTCTTACATGTTTCTTATTTCCTCAGTAATTTAAAAATCATATTTAGATACATTTATTACTAGTGAATATTTTTTCATAGTTTAATAACATTGATTTGTTTAGAATTATCAGAATATATAATTATTGAGATAAGGAACTGTGAGATAAGACAGTCTTATGGATTAATATGTTCTCAGAACATCAATGTTTTAACAAATAAGATGTTATTTACAGTTAGCACATTGTTAGCCTCCCTAGATGTCAGTGTAGTTCTCACGTAAGTAAATATTTTACATAGTTCCTCAGTAGTGTTGAATGAGAAGATGTTTTGCTTTAGAACTTACAGATTGAGGAGATGGAATAGTTGCAATAAGTGTTTGTGGTACATTAATTCCAACATCCTTCTCTGATGAAAACACATAATTGGTAAATTTATACACATCAATTCAGAGCCACAAAATATTCCAAGGATGTAAATAATTATGGATTCATAGGATACATTGTGCTTTCTTAGTCACCAATGTATTCTCTGTAGAATGAAAAGTCTTACTACACATCACAACATACTGGTCAGCCTTTTAGGGCTTTTCCCAATTGCAAAGGGAGCGTGGTTACTCCTGCCAATACCTACCTATGCCCTCTCAGCATCTGCCATGAGAGGGCAGCACTGAGATTGTCTCCAGCCCAGGGAGCAGTGGGCACTGTTTAGTATGGGTTAGCACTTAGGTTTTTATGTGGAAGCATTCAAGTCAGGTTGTGGTGATACGTGTTCTTAGAGTCTACTGTAGTATCATTTTAGTGCTTTTATTACAAGTCATCAAACAGTGTATCTGAGAAACATGAGGATAAAATATGGTACTTTCAAAAACTGCTGATAAATAACAAAGAAGAGAACAGGATACTTTGGGAATATAAGGCCTTTTGCATGAGAAATGTTTTGTGCTACCTATGAGTGAATTTTCTACATGCGGAGAAGTTCCATTTGGTCCTCTGAACTGGTTAACATTTTCTTGATTCTTTGCTTAGTGTAACAAATAAAATTCTGTTTATTCTTTTTGAGAGTTCCCAAAGTATCTTTATTGATTTGGATTTTGCTTTTTCACTTTATTTTATAGTTGATTTTAAGTTTCTCTTGAGTGTGTACATGAGATAGCCATATAAAATGGGACAACATATTTGTAATAGCAAATATTATGCATGATATCTTTTTGGACAGCCCAGTTGCACAGTCAACTCTGAAAGTGGAACGTATCACTCTCCTCTTAATTCCTTTTTCATGTTTTTCCTCTGGATCAGAAAATGTTACCTTCTCATATCCAGAAAAGTGTTATAAAATGATACATTGAGATCATCTGATTCCCTCTTTATTGTGATTGTTTCTTTAAAAGAAAAAAAGCAAAAAGGGGCCATGAACTTATAAAGAAAGTTTTAAAGAATACACCAAAAATTGTTACAACAATAAATGATTTCATCAAGGTTGCAGGGCACAAGATCAACATACAAAAATTAATTATATTTTTATATAATTGAAATAAATGATCTGAAATGAAGGAAATAATTCTATTTATAATAGCATCTAAAAGAATAAAATATTTAAGAATAACCACAACAAAAGAAGTGTAAGACTTATACTCTGAGAACTATAAAACATTACTGAAATAAATTACAGAAGATCTATATACGTAGAAAAACAGCCCATGTTCCTGAACTGGAAGATTTTAATCTTGTTAAGATAATAGTGCTCCTCAAATTGATCTACAGATTTAGTGCAATCTCTGTTGCAACTGGGATTCTCTAGGCCAGTTGGCTTCTTTGTACAAATTGGTGAGCTGATCCCAAAATTCATATAGAATTGCAGGGAACCCAGAACAGTCAAAACAATCTTTAAAAAAAAGAATAAGTTGAAGGCCTTTCAAATTTCACAACTTCCCAATTTCAAAACTTACAATAAAGTGACGATAATCAAACATATGTTACTAACATAGGGATAAACATATAGATTAATGGGATAGAATTGAGAGTCTACAAATAAATCTATATGTCTTTGGTCACCCAAATTTAACAAGGGTGCCAAGGTTATTCAGTAAGAATATTTTTTAAACAAATGGTGCTAGGATGATTGTATATCCACATGTAAAACAATGAAATTGGACCCTTACTTCACACAATATAGAAAAATTAACTCAAAACTGATAAAAGATGTAAATCTAAAATGTATGTACATATAAATCTATAAAACTCCTCGAAGAAAACTCAGGGGTAAATCTGCATGAGCTCAGATTTGACAATGAATTCATAGGTATAATTCCCAAAACATGAGCAACAACAGCAACAAAAAATTAGTTTTCACCAAAATTAAAATTTTTTGTGCTTCAAAGGATGCTATCATGATGTAAAAAGACAACCCATGGAATAAGAGAAAATATTTTCAAATTATATATCCCCTATGGAACTTGTATCCAGAATATATAAAGACCCATACAACTCAATAATAAAACAAATGAACTCAATTTTAAAATGGGCAAAGAATCTCAATAGACATATCTCCAAAAAAGACATACAAATAGACAAAACACATGAAAAGATTCTCAACATCATTAGCCATCAGAGAAATGCAAATCAAAATCACAAAGAAACAACTCTTCACACCCCCTAAGATGGCTGTATTCAAAAGACATAACGATAACTTTTGGCAAAGATGGAAAGAAATTAGATCTCTCATACATTGCTGGTGAAAATGTAAAATGATGCTGTCACTTTGGAAAATGACCTGGCAATTCCTGAAATGGTGACACATAGAGTTACATGCGTCCCAGTAGTTCTACTCCTAGGTATATACCAATATAAATGAAAATATCTAGCTACAAAAAACTTGTAGACAAACGCATTATTCATAACAGCATTATTCATAACAATCATAAGGTAAAAACCTAAATGTGTGTCAACTGTTGAAGGGATAAGCAAAATGTGGCATAAAATGTGGCGTATCCATACAATTAAATGTTATTTGGCCATAAGATGCAATGAAGTACAGTAGTTAGTGATAGATGCTACAATACGAAGGAAACTTGAAACCGTGAAACCATTATGCTAAGTTAAATAAGACAGCCACAAAGGACCACATATTATATAATCCCATTTATATGAGATGTCCGGAATAAGCAAATCCATATGAACAGAAAGTAGATTAGTGATTGCTCAGGGCTGGGGGTGATGTGTGGGTAGAAGATTGATGGCTAAAGGGCAAAAAAAAGTTCTGAAGTTGACTGTGGGGGTGGTTTCACATATCTCTGAATAAACTAAAGTCATCCAGTTGAGTGAATTTAGTGGGTGAATTCACACAGCTGTGAATTTTATCTAAATTGTAAAAATAAAACAGGAATGTGATGCTCTAACCAGCATAGGCCCAAGCCGCATGCTTTTGGGGAAGAAATTCCACCTGAATACTTGGGCTGTAAATCGGTCATTTTCCTGGGAAAAGGATGAATAGACACCAGATGGTGAGAAGGGTGAAAGTCTACTACACATGTCTGTGAGGTCAATAAGGGATCTGGTCTTTGCAGAGGAAGGTTATATTAGAGCTCAGTTGAGAAGAGAAAGGGAAAGGGACTCAAATTCATGGTTAAGGGTGCTGTGACAGGAATCCATACCTTTAATAAGAGACATGTACAAGAATGTTCATAACAACACAGTTTATTAGCCCCAAATATCCATCAATATTTGGACAAATAAATTGTGGTATATTCATAATGGAATACCATATGGCAACAAGAATGAACAAACTACAAAAGCACGCAATATGAATGAATCCCACAAACCTAATATTGAGTGAAAAGAGTTATTCAGCCAGGCGTAGTGCCTCAGGATTGTAATTAAGCATTTTGGGAGGCTGAAGCGGGCGAATCACTTGAGGTCAGGAGTTTGAGACCAGCCTGGCCAACATGGCAAAACCCCGTCTGTACTAAAAAATACAAAAATTAGTTGGGCAGAATGGCGCATGCCTGTAATCCCAGCGACTTTGGGAGGCTGAGGCAGGAGAATCGGTTGAACCTGGGAGTCAGAGGTTGCAGTAAACCAAGATTGTGCCATTGCACGCCAGCCTGGGCAACAGAATGAGACTGTCTAAACGAAAAAAAAAGAGTCATTAACAGACATACAAACTATATGATCCCATTTACATAAAGTTCAAAAATAGGCTAAATGAATCTATGCTATAGGAAGACAGATTAGTATATGTCCTTGTGGGAGGTTGTGAATGGGCGAGTGGAGGAGAGGAAGGACTTTGGGGTGCTGACAGTGTTTCGTTTCTTGATCAGGGTGCTGTTTATATGAGGTGTTCACTTTATGAAAATACTTTCAGTAGTGCACTTGTTATTTATGCACCATTCTCTATGTAAGTTAGACTTTGACAAAAGTGAAATGAAAAAGAAACTAAATAGCCTTGTTGTTGTTTACTTTCCCTAAAGACAGCGAGCACATCGTGTTTATTTCTAATGCTTATTCAAAGGAGTAGAGACTCTGAGGAAGGGTGAGGTGGCAGGATAACCCCTTACAAGAGTCAGAGTTATGGGCTACGATTTCCTGGGCATGGAAAGAGTACACCCCTTCCAGCCTAGTCGTTTCGTTCTTATTATCTTGGAAGCAAACTGTCCAGCTGTTCTTCCTAATGTCAGGTTAACAATGATTGTGGCCATTCCCTGCTGCATGGGTCAGGCTGTGAGACACCCTCCCCTTAAATTTACTTAGAGACAGAAGGTATAGATGGATGCAAATGGGAAGGGAACAGTGTATTTCTCCACTGTGTGCTTATGTCCAAATCAGAAACCAGCCTTATTCTTGCTTATTAATTATTAAGGAAAATAATTTTAACTATCAGGGCACTGTTCTTCAAATGGTGATTGGGTGAAGGGGATTTTCTTTGAGTTCTGTGAAACACCAAAAATGCTATGTGTTGATAATGACTAAAAATACATTTTCCACTCGTAAAGACAAAACTTCGGTATTGCAAAGTTATTTTCATAGAATGAAATCTTAGTTTCTTGATTCAGTCTTTTGCAAATAGGGGTCCATGTATAAACTATCAAGAAAATATTTCCAATAAATGCACTGGGGTATATTTAGGTTTATTTGACATATACAGGAATATTTGAGGGAAGGGAGCAATAAATTCATCTCTTTAATTTGCTGCAGGCTTTCCTTAGAGGGAGTGCTTTTTTAGCTGGTGTTAAGATGGAGAAAGGTGCCTTCTATCGTGCTATTGCTGAATTCTCTGCTCCAGAAACATGCAGAACATTAGCATGACCCAACTGCTTGAAAGCAAACAAGATGCTCTTGTCTTAAAGAGCATCATTTCAGAGGAAGAAAAGCCATAATGAGCCCTTCCTTTTTCTTTTTCTTAACTGAGGAGTAGCAAATGGTATTTAAGCTGTTATCTGGCAACAAAATATTTCAAGTAATGTTTTTTTAAAAAGCCTGCCAACACTTCTTTCTGTTGGGCAGTGATATATCTGAGTTAAAAGCCCTTTCAAGATGGAGAATATGACAAGAAAAGTTGCATACCCCTAACCAAAGTGGGCTTTCCAAGAGCTAGAATAAAGCCACTTCATTAAGGTTTCTCACACTGGTGTTTTTTGGCAGCATTTTTCAAGAATCATTTCCTCTATGGGGGAAATGAAGTGGCAGTGTCTTTCCTGACTGTTGCTAAAGGTGAAGTAAGCATTTGAATTGAGAAAGGTGGTTAAAATAGTATCTGAACTTTTGAACTTCCTGATCAGATAATTATTCTTGAAAGTCTGTATAAGATGGAAAAGAGAATTAATGCCAATAAAATGTTTAATTTTAGAGGGATATCATTATTAAATAGTACTCCTTCTATAATTTTTTGATTGTTGAGTACAGGTATGACAAGAATTAATGAAGATACTTCTGATTGATAACATGGGATATAAACAGAAAGTTCTCTTAAATAGGAAGGTGTGTATGTTTGGAAATTGAACTTGTCTCTTTTGCTTAGAAGTGTATATAAATTAATGCAAGATATTTGTCTATATCTCAACCCCAGGTCTCCCTCCTGAGCTGCAGATCTGCATATCCAACTACTTACTAGACACATCCTCTTGAATGCCCCATAGGTACCTTATTTCAACATATTCTAAGTAAAACTCATCATCTCAGCCTTCTCCTGCTCACCCATCTTGGCCTTTTACCACTATTTCCTCATTATTTTTTCTATTAATCATTGTTAAGCCAGTTTCCAAAATCATGCATCTAGTTATCAACCTTGGAGTCTGCCATCACTGATGCCACACACCCCAACAGGCCACTTGCGATTTATTTCCTAAATCTACTCACTTTCAGCAACCCACTGTTGCCCATATAGAGGGGACCACTATCATTCTACCATTCAACATTCTGCTAATGAGTCTTCTTGTAGCCCTTCACTCTTTTGCCTCCTTCAAGCTGTTACCACGGGAGGGATCCAAGATTCAACTCTCATTTTTTCCATTTCTATACCAAAACCATTCTTTGGGTTTCTGTTCTTAGGATGAACTCCTCAACATGGTTTGTAAGATTCTATATACTCTGATCTTGACCCTGCTTACTACTCTCGCTGATGTGAAGCCTCCTATTCCTATTATCTCTGAGCACACCCAACCCTGCTTGTTGGCAGTAAGGGACAGAAAAAGCACTTGAGGCAGCAGGCTGTCACATTTGCTAACAGTGCAAGCCAACTTAGAAAAACCACTACGTCCAAGACAAGGGCTCTTTCTGTGAAGTAACAATGACAAGTAGAAGAGACATTTAGTCAGTGTTCACTGGCTGTACCTGTACTAGTGAGAGAAAGTCCTGCTCCATAGTTTCTTGCATCACTACACTCTGGGAAGCCGCTGTACTTTACCATGCAAGTGTAGGCCCACATCTTCTCACTCTTTGTCCTGAGTTTAAATTCCTCCAACTCTACCCAAGGGTCCACAGGCCCCTATCCCTGGATGCCATGTGTTTCATTGACATGAGGTTTCCTCCTATTAAGCAAAGAGGAGTCTTATAAATGGCGCTGTGAGGACAGATACTTGCACTTTGTCTTGACCTCTGCTTCACCTAGTGTATTCTAGCTACAGCCTTAGCTCACTTCAGTTTTAGTCTCAAGATCGTCCCAGTCCCCTCCTCTATATTTGGTTCATGTTTTCATATATTGTTAATCAGGAATGCTAAAACTATTAATTTGATGCATTATATTTATGGGAACACTTGAGATGTTTCTAGAACGCAGAACCACCTGCAGAATCTCTGGAAGGGTTTATTTCCTACATGCACAATTAGCGCAAAACCTTTTGAATAAAATAGATTTTTTTTGATGATACTATCTATTACTTACCTTTTAACATTTTCCTTTTCCCACCTATGGCTCCAAGCAGACTAAATTTCTCTCAGGTTCTTATTTTTGTTGTGCTCTCTGTCTTAGTCTGTTCAGGCTACTATAACAAAATATACCATAAACTGAGTGGCTTATAAACTATAGAAATGTATGTCTTACAGTTCTGGAGGCTGGGAAGTCCAAGATCAAGGCAGTGGCAGATTTGATGTCAGGTGAGGACCTGTTTCCTGGTTCATGGATGGGGGCTTCTCACTATGTCCTCACATAGTGGAAGGGGCAAAGCAGCTCTCTGGAGCCTGTTTCATTCATAAGGGTGCTAATCCCATCCATGAGGACTCTGCCCTTATGACCCAGTCACCTCCCAAAGGCCTCACTTCGTAATCTCATCACATGGGTGATTAGATTTCAATATGTGGATTTGAGGGGGACACGGCATTCAGATCATATTACCTTCTTTCCAGACTTTTACACAACAGGTTGCCTCCAGATCACAAGGCTCTCAGCTCTCTTTTGTGCTTGGCTACTTTATAACATCCGTTTAGACCTCACTTCCTTCAGGACACCTAGGTTAGACCTTTGGCTGAGTACTTCCCTAGCACCTTCCACTCCCTTCACATAGCACCTAACACACTCTGTAGGGTTTCTCTGAGGTAAGCTCTGTAACAGCAGGGTTCTTGTCTTTCTTGTTCATCCTTGCAGTCTTCAAAGTCTGCTGCATCACCTGGCCCAGAGCAAGTACTTAATGATCATTTGTTAATGAATTAATAAATAGATTTTTCCATTAATCATCTAATCAGTGAATTTACAATTCTATGCAATTATTTGATGCTCTAAGAAATTGAAGTTTTATTTTCTGAAGTTATATATTAGTTTTATTTCCTAAGGAATTTGATTTATCCTTACTTGAAATCATCACTACCCAGTGGTTATTATAGCTATGCTGCCATATGGTAAAACACATGAAGCATCTAATATTGCCTTAAGAAAGCTGTTTCACAGTAAAAACTCTTCAGGCCTTTCTCTCAACACTTTTCATTTTATGTTGAAATTATTGGTGTTTGTATCTCTCTTACCTGTAAGACATTAGGTGCCTCAAAGGCAGTGACCATGTGTTATTCACCTTTGTATCCTCACAACCTTGTATCTAGTGCAGTGTTGGAAGTCAGAAATGTCTATATAGATGCTTAAGATAGGCCAGAATCCACATCTTGGCTCAAAAACTGTATAACTGCCAACACCTGTCTCTGTACTTACACTCTCAAAGCCTCAGTTTCTACACCTGTAAAAATGAGGATTCTGCTGTTATAAAAGATCATCTTGCAGGGTTGTTATGAAGTATTACATAAAATATAACGTACGTAAGGAACTCAGCATAGTGACTGAAACATAGGAACTATGAATAAGCTAGGATGGGGACAAATCTAAGTTCCTTTGTGAAGACGTATGGTGTGTCAAAATGTTAATTTTTCACTGCCACAGGCTGGCAAGACACGGTCTTAGATCTAGTAAAATTGTTGCAAAAAGAAAACAACGAGGCAAACTTTCCAATTTTTATGTTAAGAATATTTGTCGGGCCCCAGAGAAAGCCAAGTGGCCACCGAGCCGGCAGAGACGGGCGGAGAGCGTAGGCGGAGGGAGCAGCGCCTGGGCGCATGCGGGCACCATGACCCAGACGCCTGCCTTCAACAAGCCCAAAGTAGAACTGCACGTCCACCTAGACGGAGCCATCAAGCCTGAAACCATCTTATACTATGGCAGGAGGAGAGGGATCGCCCTCCCAGCTAACACAACAGAGGGGCTGCTGAACGTCATTGGTATGGACAAGCTGCTCACCCTCCTGGACTTCTTGGCCAAGTTTGACTACTACATGCCTGTTATTGCAGGCTGCCGGGAGGCTATCAAAAGGATCACCTATGAGTTTATAGAGATGAAGGCCAAAGAAGGTGTGGTGTACGTGGAGGTGCGGTACAGTCCGCACCTGCTTGCCAACTCCAAAGTGGAGCCAATCCCCTGGAACCAGGCTGAAGGGGACCTCACCCCAGACGAGGTGGTGGCCCTAGTGGGCCAGGGCCTGCAGGAGCGGGAATGAGACTTCGGGGTCAAGGCCTGGTCCATCCTGTGCTGCATGCGCCACCAGCCCAACTGGTCCCCTGACGTGGTGGAGCTGTGTAAGAAGTACCAGCAGTAGACCGTGGTGGCCATTGACCTGGCTGGAGATGAGACCATCCCAGGAAGCAGCCTCTTGCCTGGACATGTCCAGGCCTACCAGGAGGCTGTGAAGAGCCGCATTCACTGTACTGTCCACGCTGGGGAGGTGGGCTTAGCCGAAGTAGTAAAAGAGGCCGTGGACATACTCAAGACAGAGCGGCTGGGACATGGCTACCACACTCTGGAAGAACAGGCCCTTTATGACAGGCTGTGGCAGGAAAACATGCACTTCGAGATCTGCCCCTGGTCCAGCTACCTCACTGGTGCCTGGAAGCCGGACACAGAGCATGCAGTCGTTTGGCTCAAAAATGACCAGGCTAACTACTCACTCAACACAGATGACCCGCTCATCTTCAAGTACCCCCTGGACACTGATTACCATATGACCAAATGGGACATGGGCTTTACTGAAGAGGAGTTTAAGAGGCTGAACATCAATGCAGTCAAATCTAGTTTCCTCCCAGAAGATGAGAAGAGGGAGCTTCTCAACCTGCTCTATAAAGCCTATTGGATGCCACCTTCAGCCTCTGCAGGGCACCATCTCTGAAGATGCCACCCCTCCAAGCCTTCGCCCTGTGGAGTCATCCCAACTCTGTGGGGCTGAGCAACACTTTTACATGTATTCCTTCCAAGAAGACCATGATCTCAATCGTCAGTTACTGATGCTCCTGAAGCCTGTGTGTCCATTTCTGCACACACGTATACCTTGGCATGGCCGTATCACGTCTCTGACTATGTGCCCTGGCCAGGGACCAGCGCCCTTGCACATGGGCATGGTTGAATCTGAAACCCTCCTTCTGTGGCAACTTGTACTGAAAATCTGGTGCTCAATAAATAAGCCCATGGCTGATGGCATGCAAAAAAAAAAAAAAGAATATTTGTCTGCAATATAAAACAAAGTGAGAAATTCAATGCAAATAAAATACACTACAGGAAAATTTATAGAGCTCTCAAATGGATGAGTTGCATAATTTGTCTTATGAATATTCTTAACTAAAAGCAAAATAAATTGGACAAATAACATTCTTAGACTGTGAATCATTGAAAATGATACATACAGTTGGAGAAAAGGACAAGAAAATCATAGCAGGACCTGCTCTTTCCTAATTACAACTCCGTAGAGTTGTCTGTAATGTGTTTGCTTTTCATTAATTTTGTGATTATCCTTCCCTTTTCTTTGAAATAACAATAAGAAAACACCAAGGAAAAAGGTTCTGTAGTCATAATATGTTTAGGAAAGTCAAGATGTTAAGCATTCACATTCTAGGACTAGGAAACAAAGTTTAAGGAAAAAGAACTTTACCCTTAAGCCTTAAGCCTCAGGTCTCCCAGTGTAACATGTTTCAAGTTGTTGAGACTAAGGTGTTTGACTGGATTGTTTGCTGTTGTCTGGTTGGGTTCATCTTAAAGTAGTTTCTATTCTTGTATGGGTTTGTCTGACAATTTTCATATCATTTAGTGAGAATTTGTATTTTTTTCAATTGTTGCCTATTCCTCTGTAATTATTGTAATTGCATCTTATTTATATAATTTGTGTAAATATATGCAATCATGAAATTAGAAAACGCGGGTGGTGATATGCAGTGTCACAATTGCAGTGGTTAAAGATGTGTGATTTTTTAATCTTTGAAAAAAATAAAAGCTAAGTAAATATTGTAATTTCAGGGGAAAGCATTTTAGCTGTCTAAAACTGATTGCCCAAAGAAATCAACCAAACATTTTTATTTAGACATAGATAAGAGGTTTCATGTTTTTGACTGTTCTAACTCAGAGATTTGGAAATCTTAGTTTTAAAATATCAGTTTGATGACTGCTCAAACACTTATAAAGTTTCAATATTAATTTTAAACTATAAAATACTGATCATATGCTTCTAATGATACCTTTTCTGTAGGTTGTTATCAATGTGAGTGTAAATAAGCATTTATTAATACCGTGAATAGGATGCGTATTAACATCTGTATCCATACAGTTGGAGATATTTATGCTGATGTAAAGACACAGACAGTGGTAATTTATATGCCTTTCAAAATCTCAGTGATTATAAAATTCTGCTCCTCTGACTATACATTAGGTAAATGGTATATTTAAATAAGTGGTCAAGGCCAAAAAAAAAAAGAGCATAATTCAAGTTCAGCACCCACTGCAATTGTACATGATAAAAATGAGGCATTCATCAGGCTAACCCTTTTGCCTCTAGAATTTCATGTGCACTGAGAGAAAAGTCCATTGATCTACATTCAGCTCTTAAAAACTGCACTTTCTATTAGAAGACAGAACATACGCTCACTTAGGAAATACTTCAGGCTGATACTGCTAAGATTTTAACACATTTATAAAACTTCCTTGGTGGTAATAATAATCATTTTTTCTACTTGAGAATTTGGAATGTTAACAGAAAACATGATTTCTACCAAAATAAAGGCAAGATTGATCTAGCCATCTGCATTTTAAAAAAACCTCATTGAAATACTCCTGTAGAATAGATCGCTAACTTTTCCTTGCTTTTGTAGTTCATAGTTTTTAGGAAAAAAGTATCTTTTACCTTTAAACCAAGAAGGGAATCCAAATTTTGATTGAAAGCACTCCTGTACCTGTGTTCTCATAAGTATTTCTGAGACACGAGTTTGCAAGTAGGAAGCTGGCACGGATGACACAACTGGGAGGGATGGGACTAAGCCAGCCTCATCCAGCTACATGCAGCTGCTTCACCTTTGTCTCCAAAGGACTCATGCCTTGTTCCACATTTTAAAAGCAATCACACATTTACAAAGAAATTCTCAATCTTCTTGTTTTCTCTTTAATTCTCTTTAAAGGAATGAAAAAAAAAATCTGATGTCCTATGCAGATGCTATACATTGGTCTTAGGGACTAGAACTGAAAACTTTTATGATCAGAAAATTTTCTCCTCCAGTTGTCATCCTGTTCTAAATTTTACTTTATTTTTTGATGTAGGGATGTTTCTTTAAACATCAAGATTTTAGTTTCCACTGGAAAACTAATGAATTATTAAAGGATGGGAACTTGAAACAATCTTTAGTGCTCAATAAGGAGAAACCACAAGGCTTGAATAAACTGTTCCATACTTCTCTTTTAATGCTCCGTTTAAAATCTAGACGGTGTGTCATAAGCCTTTAAAAAAAAAAGGATTGTGTTTACCAATATGGAATATGAGGTTTTTGTTTCTTTTTAGGTACTTTTCTTGTAATTAGTATATACCTTGATGTTACCATGGCTATGGCTTCATGTTCCAAACAATGAGTTTTTTCTTATGTTTGGTTCAACCAAAATAATGTTAGTATAATTTCCCTGTAAATAATTCTTTGTTGATAATCAGTGTTAATGCCACTAAAAATTGAGTATAAATATCAACAGAGTACATTGGTAAATGATTAACAGGACAAATGAAAAGAAAAATAGAAATTCTAAACAGAATTGCTATACTTCTCCAGAATTCGTTCCTCCTAGAATAACTCCCTCACGGTGAATGAAAAGTCAGGTGGGCAAGGCTATGAGTTCCACTTCCTTCAACTATACAGGTTTTGATTTGGAAAAGGAAATTTTGACCTCATTATTTCATCCTGCCTTGAACCTAGTTTTTATGCATCTACTTTATTATTGCTCTTTGCATGTACATTAAAACAAATATTTTATTTTGACTTTAACCTAGAATGAGCATTACAGTTATAAGCAATTAACACAAGATAAACCTAAAAGAACTAAAAAAACACATAAGAGTAAGGTTCATGATAGACAAAAACTGACTTGCTGGCAATATTAAACATTGCTAAACTCAAGCAAGGAAAAATTAGGCTAAACATTGTCATTATTGTCAAAATGTCTATTCATTCATAATCTATTATTGATCTAGGATAACTAATAAATCTGTAGACTGCGATTCATTTTTTTGGAAAACTGAACTCCCAACTTACACACAATATTCTAGTTGCCTCTGAGTAATGAGGTTATAAATAATGTAAAATTTTGGTGTCTTGTTTTTCTTTAGTAGAAAATTTATTGCCTAGGTATAGTAGTGTATTAGTCAGGGTTCTCCAGGAAATCAAAAACAATAGGCATTACATATAAACGTATATTTATATTTGTATGTGTGTATTTATTATAAAGAATTGGCTTATGTGATTATGAGGCTAAGAAGTTCTAAGATCTACAGTCTCCAGGCTGGAGACCCAGGCAAGCCAGTGGTGTAAGTTCTGATACAAAGGCTAGCAGGCTGAAGACCCAGGAAGAGCCAGTTTTTCAGTTTGAGTCCAAAGGCAGGAAAAGACCCATGTCCCAGCTCAACAGTCAGTAGTAGGTGCTCCCTCTTACTGGGCCTTTTGGTGCTATTCGGGTCTTCAACTGATTGGATGGGGCCCACTCACATTAGGGAGCAGAGTAAGCTTTACTCAGTCTACCAATTCAGATGGTTATCTCATCCAGAAACACCCAGAATAATGTTTGATCAAATGTCTGGGCACTCCATGGCCAAGTGAATTTGACACATAAGTTAACTGTCACACTAGGTAACATATGAAGAATTATTTTTAAAAAATGTTAATCAGCTCGGTGGAAATTACCATCTTCTTAGAAAATAGAGTTGGAGAAGAGAATGAAGCTGATAATGTGCCTGAAGTCTTTTTTCTGGCTTCTATTCCAGTCTGAGAGTGAGGAAAAGAAGAGATCTCTAATGAAAATGCTTCTAATGTATTGGTCATTTTTACCACGACATCAGTAATAGAAGAGAAAGTCAAAAGAATGAGGCTCCAGGCCAGGTTCGGTGACTCACGCCTGTAATCCCACTTTGGGAGGCCGAGGCGGGCAGATCACAAGGTCAAGAGATTGAGACCATCCTGGCCAACATGGTAAAACCCCGTCTCTACTAAAAATACAAAAATTAGCTGGGTGTGGTGGCACATGCCTATAGTCCCAGCTACTCAGGAGGCTGAGGCAGGAGAATCGCTTGAACCCCGGGGGGCAGAGCTTGCAGTGAGCCGAGATCACACCACTGCACTCCAGCCTAGCGACACAGTGAGACTTCATCTCAAAAGAAAAAAAAAAAAAAAAGAATGACACTCCAAGCTGAGCACCTGGGCACCAGGCAGTCCTCATCCCTCTCACTGCTTTGGAGTTTGCCAGATTTGGGTACTTTGATCCCTAGGGAATAAACACTCCTTAGCTGGACAGCAACACAGATAACTCTTAAATGAACTGTGTCTGTTACACACACACAGGCGCACATAGAGTTTCAATGAGGTTTACTGAAATAAAGTGGCCTCTACACTGAAGAATTGTAAGGACTGTATTCTATCCATTTCCTGTTTACTTCTCCATTTATTTGTATTCATAGATAAGGTTTACTAGCACATCATTAAGATACTGTAAAACAGCATTAAAATCCTACCTTTTAATTTCCTCAGGTAAGCACCTCTCTTCTTGTCTTAGCAATGCCTCGGTTCTCAGGCCTTGGTTATCTTACTCTGTCATTGTGAGTGAGGAACTTTCTGAACTGGATGACTGCCTCTGATTTTACCCCTTCAAATTCCTCTTCCTTGCAGCTGATTGACTGATCCCTCTGATGAACAAATATGATCATGCCCTCCCAATTTAAACAGCTTCCAGGCTGCCTCAATAACGTGAAGATTGAGGGAAAACGCCTCAGCCTGGCTCGGACAGTGCCTCCTGTCTTGGGCTGCTTGGCTCCTCTCTTCCCATTCAGCCTTGTTACTCTCCAGAAGTACCAAGCAGCTTATAGGTTTTCACATGCCCCAAGGAATGTGTGCGCCATTGTTCACACTGTTATTGCTCCTAGATGGCTCCCCCACTCGCTGAAAATCCCCACCTTGTTCCCTTAATGGGTGTCGATTTAGTCTTC